TTTTTTAAAATATATATATAAAAAAAAATACATATACACATACATACACACATATATATGTAGGCATAAGACATATATAAATAAAGTATGAGGCATTAGGCAGCTAAATCAGACAGCATGTTCTGCTATTCACATCCACAATTGAAAACACAGCCATCCTGGTTTAAAAATCCCACAATCTCTCTTCAATAGTTTACACACCAAATGGATAAGAGGAGGAGGCAGGGAAGACAAAAGTTTTAATTGTAACTAATGAAAAGTTTCCAACTAATATAAGAGTCCTGCCACGGGAACCAGCTATGATTACAATAACTCTCAACCAAGACTGTTGAAAGGGCCAAAGTCTGTCTACATAGACCAGTTTTCCTGTATTTCAAACTGTTCACCTGCAACATCCAAAACTTCAGGAGCATCTTTCTCCAACACAGGTTAAGAAATGAGATGTTTATATTTAATTGCGTCTGAATCCTAGAATTAAATCTTCAATGGTGAAAGACTAGTTCACCAACTTACCATGCCACTAAGTTCCCTTTCCCATTGTTTCTCACACCACAGGAAGCAGGAAGACAAAGGAAAAAATATAGTTAAACAGCAAGATTGAAGGTGTTATTTACATCAACATGTATCCTACAGACAAAGGAAATTTAAATTGTGTTGTAAACTACCATAAAACATAGCAAGTATGTCTCAACACAGAAATTAAGAGAGCTCAAAGGAAATTCAAGGGGAATCAGTCAACAGTAAATGAAAGTTTAAAATCAAAACCAAAATAAGTAAAAAGAATTGGCTAAAAAAGAAGTTACAGAATCAACCACAGAGATCTGAAAAATAAATTTTTGCAATAGTCTTTAGCCACAGAATGTGTCACAAAATTATGCTGTTTCGAAATGTTTTGCCACACACTTGCTAAGTGCTTCACTAGATATTATATTTATACAACAATCTCCATTCCATAATAGGATCTTTATATTTAGCAGTGGTCTCATGTACAGTCTTTGGCAATGTTTTCTTTTTTTCTTTCTCTAAGGATGTATGTTGGTCAACTGTCCCGCGCTATACCTAATTCGAAGGACTGTCCTTGGCAAGCCATTTCATACTAATCACTGTCCAACAACTTCTATTACAACCTTTGAAGAACAATGGATTTTTCTAAAAATAGTAATTAAAGTTTCTGAGAAATTGACTGCTTTCCAGACAGGGAACATGTCCAAGAGGAGATGGGTTCTACACAAGGATTGCTTTTTTCCCTGAGAAGACAGGCTATCTGTCACTAAGAAAGAAGAGTGGATAAAAAAGAAAAGCAGCAGAGAGGAGTCTGCTTAACCTAAAATTACAAAAATAGAATGGAGGGAGAAGGGAGCAAGCTGAGATATGAATTAACATTTCACCAAGCTTGTTGTTTTTTTGAAGATCAACCTAATGTAAAAAAGTGAGAAGTACTCAAAAAAATCACAGGCGTTAATTAAAAAAAAAATCTAGGTTAGCTGGATAGCAGAGTTCTGTATCTCAAGAACAGGATCAGATGGGAACTTGTTCCTGGAAATCTGTCCTGGATACCCAAAGATATACCAATAATGGCTGGACTCTACCTAGATTTAGAAGAGATAAGAAACATATTGGATTGAGCAACTGGGTTACAAATGAACAACCCTGGCAGACTTAACTGTCACAACACAGATTTTTAGAGAATGCTTATCAAAAGGGAAAATATTGACACAATGTGGAAAAGCAAGCAATTTTGGGAGTGAAGTTTGGAATAATTTAGAAGGTGATACAGATTCCTCTGTTGACCTCTACTACTCCATTTGATAAACTGCCATACCTAATTTTTCAAAAGATATTAGGAGTGATCCTAAAACCTACAGAGTCCTCCTTTGATACTTGATAACTGAAAGGAGACTAAGATCAATTAATACAATTATGAAACACCTGAGAAACAATGATGCTTGCAGGACAAGCTAGAAAATTCTGTAAGCATATTAAAAAAACAGCCAACACAGGAAAACCACAGATTATACGTGTAGCAATGTATGTGAACTTTCAAAACTATTACCTTTGAATAGTTTTTGCAGAAAATTTCAAAAGTTCCTGTAAAATAATTCAATTTATTCTAATAACAACTCTATATCAAATACAAACCACAAAGCACCAAGTAATAAAATCTGACTGTATGTTCTCAGAGCAAGAAGTTAGATATGAAGTGGCCCATGCCACTACACATGAACCTTTGTCATTTCAGAGCTTTATCAACAAACTAGATGAGGAATCATGCATGTAAAGAACCCAAAAACTATGTAGAGTCAAACAAAAGTTTGGTTCAGAGGAACATAAGAATATTAGGAAATAGAACAAATATGTAGGCTTATGCCAAACAGCCTATTCTTGAGTAAAAGCAAAGAAAATTTTTTGAAAGTATTGATAAACATCATGGGAAGCTGAACTGACAAACACTTAAAGATCTAAACATCATTGTGTACACTTAACAAAAATCACAACAGAAAAATGACAACAAAAAGCAAGCAAAGTAGTACTGATTTAATAAATTGAAATAATGATATTTAAATGGTATTTCTCTTCCATAATCATTAAAGATAAAACGCATGCTTAAGGAGTATGTATTTAAGGTACCAAGAACGTAACAAAAAGATCTGGTTATGAATGTGATTTAAAATATTCTTTTAACTTTGGTATTTTAGTTTGCAAGCATTTTTGTTAACCCTTTGGAGTATCTACAATGTTAAAGGAAAGCGAGAGGTCCTCCAACCGCACTATTTGTTAGGCTAATCTCTGTCTCTGTTTTGGTTACGCTCTCTTCAAGACTCATTGGAAGGGAAGGAGGGACATTTCACTCTTTCCCGACGGCAGTATGGATCACTTTCAGCGTTCATAGACCTCCAACACTACCCCAAAGAGGCATTGCTTTTTCTACAGGTCCTGAAGGAAGGAATGATGGCCTCAAAACACAGGCAAAACGTAATTGTGGGATACTGCAGTGCAAACAGCCAAGCTGCACGCCCAGTCTGCAACAGTCTAGACCTCTGCAGCATAGACAAAAGCATTTCCACACCATTTGGCCTGGTGACCAGTGATCCCTCTCTAGAAATGATGCATTAAGCACTGAAAAACAGCAGTGAGACTAGTCCCAGAAGAACAGTTAGGAGCTATCTGAACTGATCCACGTGAGGGATTTTCTTCCTATGTGAAAGTGGCATGACATGTACCAGGTCAGCCAAACTACTCTATCAGAGTGCAAAACTGATGTTTCAGTGCCACTGCAGAGAGATATAATATAGTAAGAGTACAGGTCTTTTTCTCATACTATTTATAGAATCATAGAATAGTTTGGTGCAGGTAACAGAGAAAACATTCCAATTACAATGTAAACCAGCTTTACAGTATGTCCTAAAGCAACACTTAGAAAAGGTAACAGGACACAGATAATTTATTGAAAAAGCATGACATATTCAGACATTGTCACTGAACACTATGCATGGCTCATATTTTCCATCAGTGAGTGTTCAAACCAATTTTTTTTTCCTTAGAGAAACAATTCAGAATAGCTTCCTTTATAAGTTTACCTGTTGCAAAACAATAGGAATCCACTTTTCCTTGCCTTCTTCAGCTACTTCCAAAGTGTATTTGCTTCTATTTGAGATCATAAAAAATGGAGTGAAAGTTACAATTCTAGTAATATTAAAACTGCTGTTGTTTATGGTGACACCGACCTGTGAATAGAAAGACATTGTTAGAAGTACGCTGTTCTTTTCTTACCTCAATTATATCTCCTGAAAGTAAGGAATTTGAAAGATAAATTTAACTCACTTGATACTCCTTTTTATGACTCTTGCATTTCACAGAACCATGACTTCCAACAGTGTCCAGTGAAAACTGATCAGACAGTTCACTGTCAGTTACCATAAGTTGCACCTATGAAGAAGGACCCTGAATTAATTCTCAATTTACAGACACTGACATTTAAAATCATATATAAAGTATGATATATATATATAAAGTAAAGCCTATATATAAACATAAACATAAGTGCATACTGGACATACTGGTGTTTCTATTAAAAAGTCAAGACATAACAATTGCCAGTATCATCTCACAAAGGTATCTTCTACCACCCTTAGTTATAAGCTATGTGGAATAAGCATTATAAGTGTAAGATACTCCAGAGGAAGTAACCACATAAGGATCCTTTCCAAAAGTTATCACAATTAAAATCTCAAAGGCAAATCACCACAGTCTTGTAATCTCTCTCGTATCATTCATCCATCAGTAATATTCAGCATTAAACAACTCACATAGCAGACTCAAATGGTAAACAGCATCTTAACCTTAGCTTAACTACCAACTCAGACCCAATCTACCAACCACCACTGCAAGCATTCATTTTTCAAGTAGCATTCATTTTCCAAGTCCCACAGCTTTACATTTCTTGCACAACTTCTACATCTTATTTAGAATAAGGACCTTTATTGATGCAGTTTAGATGGAATAAAGGGAATTCTTTTATTTAGGAAACACTTCTTGGGGAATTTTATTCCTCTCAAAGATGAGATCTCTTTCTTAACAATACCTTTGATAATGTAGATTTCCCATCTCAAGCATATCTGACAACACACATATTCTGTCTTTAGACATGAGATATCGTAGATTTCATGCCCTTTACAGAGCACAGCATAGTGTAGGTAACTTTCAAAGTGTAAAAATGCTTTCATACAACAACACAGGGGAGTACAGAGCTGTCAGGTTTTACAAAATATAATACCTTGTTATTTTGGAGGAAGTTTTTGGGCTGGAAAGAAAAAAGGAGCGGCTTTTTGTAATCCGGAGGATGCTTGCGGTGAATACCATCAGCTTTGTATTGCAACATTCGACCAGTTTTATTTACCATCCAGTACGGACTGTGAATTGCTATAACCATCTGCCCAGTTATGTAGGTCACGTGGACAGCAATATCCAGTTCAGTCTTATCCAGCTCTGTGATGCAGCAAAACGTCGTGAAGCTGATATCCGGTAGATTGCTTTTTATATGGTACTCACTTTTCCAATTTTGATCAAGATAGTTAAGCAACTGCAAATCTAGTTTTGTTTGATCCAAGACTGCATTATGAATCTGGGCTGAACATCCTTCTTGTAAAGTGTCGTATTTGTTCCCATTTCCCTTTAAAAAAAACCCAAACAGTGTACATTTACATGAGTCATAGTCAAAATTCATATCAACTTTTATTTTCTAGCTAGCTTTGAAAATTAAGATACAAGTTATTTAGGCAAAATTTTAAAATTCTTATTATGCTATTTAACTATGTTATGTTCTTAAACGTCTACCTTAATACAACATTTTACAGAAAAAACCTATGCATGGTCATCAATATTTAACACACACACACACAAAAAAATCTGTCACCAAATTCAAATACATAAACGTGCCTAAATGACAGATTCCTCAACTCAGTATTTCTTTCACTAAATTTGTAAGAGACATACAGAAAAGATCCTGTTACTTCCATACATTTGGTAGAGGTCACGGTCTTTAGCTCTAGTAATTGTGCATTTGTGACAAAATTTTATGATTAAATATGTGAAAATAATATAAAGTCTGGCACTAGGCTGCAATTCAAGCCAAAACCTGGCAAAAAGGCAGGCCTGTAAGAATTTGTTAAAAGCATGCTACTGCTAAAAGTCAGTGACAGTGACAGCACATAAAATGCTACTGTGGGCTGACCCACTTATGTTGCTTGAGGCAGTCATAATTCACAGGAAAAACTACACTGTTTAATTAGGCTCAAGCTGCACTTGAGCAACAGAAAGTGACTCTCTCACAGGGCTGAAATTGTACAGTGTAAGTTTTACTTTGCATATGTATCTAAAGTATGACTTATTACTAATGATTAATACCACCACTTTTCACATTCTGGTACTGTTTCATTTCTGTAGATACAGACTTGCCCTTACAAGATCTGTAAACTTGCTCCACAAATACTCTAACAGAAGCCCTTTCTTTTAATATCCATTTATAAACATATTTCAACCAGCTGGTCAGCTTTCATATCATAGGTGGGAAACATCACAAAAAATTTAAACATTAAAGAATTACCTCTACAGAATAAGTTATCTGGTAAGGAAGAAGATTGCGGAGAAGAACAGAAGGCCATAAATGAACAACATATGGAAAATCCCATTGATCTTCTGCACATAATGAAGATGTCAATGTGTCTTTTACAGGAACAATATTGATGATAAGTGAGTGGTTAGTTGACCTCACAGACTGGCATTTCCTTTGTAATAAACTGTCAACATTTTTCATAATTTCATCAAATGTAATTCCTTCACACATATCATAATCTCCATCCACTCCATTTTCATTGGCTAGTGGTTGCAAACTCAGTATGGATCTGCAAATGAAAACATTTTTTAAACACTCCATATGAGATTGAATTTTTCAATTATGAAAAAGTACTATGCAACACTAACATTCTAGTATTATTTGGATTTTAGAAAATTTCTGACAGTAATTCATTGCCTGTCTTTACCTTGCTTAAAGGAGGAAGCAAAAGGTAGTTTGGATCCCAAAAGTTCATGGAATTGTACCACTTGGGGGTTTTTGTTCCATACCTACAAATAGTTCCCTTGCAAAGAAGGGAGTGTTGGAGACTCTTATGAAGAGGCTACTGAATTCCCTTACAAGTGCTGCTATATTCCTGTTCCAAGCAAAAGGTCTTGATAAACAATTCACTCCTATGACAGATCTGCAGAAAGTGCCCTTCTTCCCAGTCACATAAAGCATCAAGTTTATGGATTATTTACACATATGGCTTTTTTAAGGCAACTGCTTTAATCCAATCAGATGCTCCTTGAATGAAAATTTTTCTTAGTAAACATTTCCTGACTCCCTAGTGGAACTCACCCATATATCTGTGCAATGAATCAGAATGTCCCTAAACCTTATTTAATAAAATACAGATAGTTAGAAATAAAAATGAACTTACATGATCTACAGTAAAGTGTAAGTTATTTAACAAAAAAGATACACGGCCATCATTTAAAAAAAAAAATGGGGAGAGTGTTTAGGGGAAAACAGAAGGAAAAAGTCTCTGTAATAATAAAACACAATCAAAGCAAACTTATCTGCCTAAAAGTTGGTGACAGTTCAGCTAAATCGTACATACAAACTCACTGCAGTTTTAAGTGGGTATTAGCTTAAGGTGCTAATAGCGTAGCTATGCTGGAAGCCAAGTCTCTCTAAGGTTGACAAGTCTTTTTCTACATCTGTGATAGAGTTTAAGTGTATTAGTTTCTGTTTTTTACTTCAGAATCACAAAAATCAAAAGAAGCCTTTTAAAAAAAAAAAAAAAAGCTGTAATACATCACTAGATATCACTCCAGTAAGAAAAAAAGTCTGTACTGTGTTGATAACAATCACTGTGTTCCAGAAGCACCTGGGCTCGGATTCTTAAAGTAACTTAGCAAATTTAAGTTGTTCAGTAAAATGGATTTGAAAAGACTTACAAATCAAGAATTAAATAGTATTCTGTTTAACTCTGACTAGATGCTCTGAGAAGATCCTACCCAACAATGATAGTACAGTATTAATTACCGTACTAGGTAGCAAAGGGAAAAAATTTTTTTTTAGTGTAATTGTATGGATACAATAATCAACAATATATAAACATTTTCTATAATAAAAGAACAATGCAGTAAAGTACCTGTAAGAGGACAATGGTATGCTGAATTCATTTTCTGGTGAAGCCGTCCCTAAACATCTTCCTTCCTCAAAAATATTTAACGGGATTGAAAAATGATTCCTTATCTATGTGAAATAAAAATCCAGCAACATACATTAGGAAAAACTGGAAAGATAAAGTGTTTTGAGCCTAATAGAGCACAGAATGAGAACTCTCTCATTGTTCATCTTACCTATTTACCATTCAAGGTCAGGTATTTCAAAAGAACTGTCTCTAATACCAGCAAATCTCCTTAAATGATCTGGTTGTGCAGTTTAATGCTATATTTTAATTATGAAATTAACACATTAGCTGTAAAATTCTTTTCAAGGAGAAACATAAAGCCCTGTAAAACCAAAGACCAGTAAATCTGAACTATGTAATAACTTTCCAAAGAACTTTCTCCTAACAATATAACAGATACAAGGGTGTGGGGGTCAAAATCCACATGGCAGAAAACACAAGGGAAGTGAAATATTTATTTAAGGTTAAAACCATCAACACACATTATAATTTGCGGGGGTATATAGTTCTCTTGTTCTTTGCAAACATTATTTTTTATTAGCACTGGAAAAAAAACCCTAAAATTTAATTTAGGGAAGAATAAAACAGTAAATCTGGTTATTAACCAAGTCATAAACTACTCTGGGCAAAAGCAGCAAATGAAATGTAACAGGGACACGGTCACTACAGAACACTAACATAAGGACCATCGCTGTACTTCTAAACTATATAATGTCTATCAAAAATACTATTCAGTCAAAAAAGATATATGCTCAAAGGGCTCACCCTTCATCTGACTTGGTACTAAATTTGCAATTCATGTATCAATGGTACAGGATGAAGAAAAAGAATCCGATAGAAGGATAACCTTGCGGAACCAACGTAAGGTTAAGAGAGGTTTGATCACTTCACACAAAGCAAATAGTACAACAAGACTGAAATTAGAGCTAGTAATAGAAATCATCACTGATGAATTATCCTGATCTAAAATCTGATCCATTTCCACCCCCACCCCCTGTGTTTGTCACTTTGAAAAAGCTTTTTATTCTTGAAAATATCTTCTAAACTACCTTATAATACACAACAGCAAAGTTAGATGAATTGTTCAGATAAGTTTTTAAAGTATATTTTTTAAAATGTTTATGTAAAGACTACAGGATCATTTTAATTCATTAAAAAATTAAAATAATAATGAAATTATAATGCATGGAAATACAATAACCTGAATAGGAGAACGTATAGTTATCATCTTGCTTCCTTCAACAGTATCAATTTGGCAGACAATAGACCTTTCAACACCTGATTCCTCGTGTCTCACTCGGTAAATACATCGACCCACTTTTGTCAATGGAATCTTTTCCACAGTGGAATGATTATGTGGACCTAGAATTTACAAGATGAGAAATGAAAGACTCAAAAGGAGCATAAGGATACATTTGAAAGACAGAAATACAGATTCAATAGAATTTTCGGTATCATTCAATCTTTTAAAAAAAATTTATAGCAGATAAAAAGTACAATCACTACTTTTAATATGCCAATCTTGCAGTGTTACTAAAGAAACAGCAAAGATTCTTTTTTCGCCACAGGAGAAAGAGTAAATGAGTCTATTACTCAAATATTTAAGTGGGTTTTGCTGCTACAAATAAAATTAGTGCCTGAAAAGAAATGTTTACAAGATGTAATGGCTTATCAACAAGGTACAGCTCTTCTATATTGTGAAAACAATTCAACTAATAAATCATATGGTCAAGACCAGTTTGAAAAATCAGTTTTGGAAAACTGTCAGTTACTACAATAAATCAACTTAAATTGTTAACACATACACCATTAAAAATAGCTAAATTTTACTTCTAGCTTTAACTATGTTTTACATTAAATTATTTAAAACAATCTTTTCTTAAAAACATCCCCCTTAAGAATAACTTCTTCTATGAAGACACATATACAAGGCCTCAGAATTCTACCCAAAAAAATTTATTTTGGGTGGCTCAATTTTGCATTAATGTGTGAATACAAACAAAAATATCTGATTGCAGTAAAATTATGAAATAAAGATTAGTTATCTAAATAATTCATCATAGTAGAAAATTTATGCTACAAAAATTAACAAGCATGATACATGTAACTTTTAGCTGCGAAGACTAAAGCAGAATTTCAAATACGGCCACGCATCTAGAATCCAAAGAAACACTCCTTTCATGTTATTTAGTCCCCAATACTTATTGACTTGTACAAGATGCAGTATTATGCATCGTGCAGTATTTACAAAAACAGAAGATGTATGAACTTTGGAACTTACAGATCTGAATGTAAAACCTCTTGCTACTCAGAGTTGTCATTGCTGTGAACTGGTCACTCTCATTTTTAGTTCTGACAAATTCCATATTTAAATTCTCTCCATCTCTTAAATGAAATATTTTTGCTCCAAATTCAACATTAAGAACACTAAAGGAATCGCTAGGCGAGACAGTGATGGGAAGTCCTAAAGAATTTATTATTACAAATGGTGCTCGGTCTTTTTTGAAGATGTCTGAAGTTTGACTAGCTGCTTCAGCAAATGCCTAGAAAGCAAAGTATAGATACAAAACACAGTTATGCTGAGTAAGACTTCATCAAGACGATTTGTGCAAACATTCATTTAACAATTCTGACACTGCATAGTTAAGTAATCTTTCTTACCGTGCCCAAGTTACTCAACATTTGTAGACCACATTTGGACAGTGTAATGTTCAGCTGGTCTTTTGAGGAAACATTTATTACTGTTTTATATTCCGGAACTTTGTAGTTTTCCTCCTCTGCATCTGATTCAACCAACGCTTTTTTAGTCTTCTTCTTCATCTGCAAGGAGATTTTTAAAGATTCTTATCTGACCACTCCTGTAGAAGCAAGTTTCACCTCAAGACTTTTTCTATCCCTTTCCTGCTTCTATGTGCTGCCATAGTTTTCCATATTTTGTTCATGTTTTTATTCCCAAATAAAAACAAAAGAGGGAGAGAAAAAAGAAGGCAAGAAGCAAAAGATGTATTTCAGAAGTCAATGAAATTCCAGTAACAGTAGCTAACTTTATGATTATTCAAAAATGAAGTACACTTACATAAATGCTATATAAATGTAAATGCTATATGAAAGCATTCATCTTAACATACCTAATACCACTGTGTAAAAAATATTATACATAATTATTTCCTGTTCTTAAAACAGTAACCCCAAATTTAGTCTTTATATGTTTCCATACCAAATACTTATTTTGTATGTTTTCATTTGTTTGAAGGAAAAAAAAATAAAAATCACATGGAATACATTTTCCTGGCCTTCAACATTTCTGGAAATTATCTATTTCCAAATGCTATATTTCAAATATGGGCAAGAAGATACGATGTTTGACTCACTATCTTCTACCTTCTCCTGCACTAGGTCTCACATCTTTCTGGAAGATTCTTAGGAATATTTTTAATAGCGATTTCTTAATTGCAGTAACTCAGTCCATAATCTTTACCCTCCTGAGGCCATTACTGTAGAAAGTTGTTTTGATAATGACAGTCCTAGGAAAAGGGCGTTTTTTCCATTCTGAGCAACCTTCCAGGCTAAAAATACTTGAAAAGTTTTGAAAAAATCAGAAACCAATGCAATAAAACAGTTAAGACAGAAGGAGACGGGGAAAAAAAAAAGTAACTTCCTTCCTTAGATAAATTCTTATCTACTTTGAGACTAGAATCTGGACTATTTCCTTAGGAAAGAGAGAACTGAAGTGATACAAGCACTATTCCCACAGTGCACTTTGTGCTAGTCAGTAACAGGTATCAGTTTTTCCAACACGTTTCTACTACAGATACTACTGTGGAATGAGATGAGGAGTCTTCTATCTTTCCAAAGTCACTGAATGCATAATGACCTAACTTTAGAGAAACTGATATAAAGCCATTATGATTATCTAGTGCAAATGGAATCAAATCTTCTTGCCACCTGAAAGTCAATATTATTTAAGAGACCTGTGAGTCGGGATCTTCACTTGTGCAAGAGCTGGTTTCATTCACTAATTGGGAAAAAAGTCTCAGTAACCAACAAGAAGAACAAAATTATTAGCTTAGTCTCAGCAATGAAAGGTGCAGACCATTCGTTTTTTCTAAGGTACTGAAATGCAAGATGTGAGTTCAGTTTTGGAAAATATACCTTGATTTCAAGAATCCATGGTTTGAATAAATCAGTCTTCTCAACTTCTAGTGGTTCAAGCAAAGGTTCCCACACCCCAAACATCTCGTTAAAATAGTGTACCTATCAAAATGCAGAAGTCAATTAGGAAATCACGTAAAACTGTTAAATCAATGAAAGCTCTACAGATTTTAAGAGACTTAAAATTCTGATTTACAAGTATATTAATTTATTTGGTAATATAAAAGATTTATAATCAGATTGCACTTTCAGCTCCCACCATAAGATGAAGCAAATGCATTAGAGAAATAAATGAAGCAGCTAAGTCTCTACAGCAAAGACCCACTTCCAAATAAGTGGTATAAGGTGTGTCACTTAAAATATAATTTTGGCTTAAACTGTAGGCACTGGAAGTCTAAAGCACTATAAATAAGGAAGAATCTACCTACAACCACCACTAAATTTTATGTCACTAATGTCCAAATGGGAGGCAGTTTGGATGTTTTATGTACAATACTGGTACCACATAATATTTTATAGAAATGACACATGAATATATTCTACTGTAATCTTAAATTAAGATTGTCAAAGAGCTTTAGCCAGTTGCTACTCCAAAATTTAATACTGATGCAACAGGCCTTTAGGAACTTGTATAGAGTGTAAATGTGAGATTGTGTAACACCAATTACTGCCATTAATACATTACATCTAATGCATTAGATTTTCATTTCAACTATCTTAACACCTCATTCCTGTCCTGCTCCCACAACATGTATCTGCAGGAGTTTAGTCATCAAATATATGGATTATTTTTCTTTTATTGTGTAAATAACATAACAGGTTTAATATCGTAAGAAAACTTTCTCGTGTAGGATTCCTCACCTCTAGCTCAAGACGAGAACGTAGGTTGATTAGAGTACTCCAGTTTTTGACTTCTCCAAGAAATGAGGCATTGGCTAAAAGCATTGGTACAGTTCGGTGCCCAACCCCAGCTTCAAGTGTTAGAAAAACAGATTCTATATTCATTTTCAAGGACTCTCCTGTGGGAACCAGTTCAGCAGTTGGATTTGTATCTTCATTTTCATTCGACTCTTCAAGAAACCACATTTTTAGATTTTTTATATCTTTCTTATTCCACAAGTCTGGAGGAATTTCACTAATCTCTTCTTCTGTTGTTTCTGCAGTTTGATAAAGGGCTGATGTAATAGTAATTACTGTGTTTATGATTATTGGTGAAACCTACAAATAAGAAGTTGGAATAATTGGAAATGAGAAGCTAGTACATGAAACAGTCAGCTACTTTCAGACACAAAATTATAAAGAATATGTTACACTAACAAAACACTTCTGTTCTCTACAGGCTCTTACATTTGAAAACTCATTCCTTTCCACAAGCTATAGTTCAACCTGTTCAGATTTTCAACCCCTGCCTTTCTTCCAGATGGGAGCTTTCTAAACTACATCATCCACTGCTCTATCTGAACACTTCAAAACTTATCTCTGCACATCAGGCCATTTTGTAAAACACAGATTCCAAAACCAAAGCGTTGTGACACGATTGTTTATTTTTAATTCTTTTTATTTTCACATGCTAAACAGGTAGGTGACCTGATGAAGAACAGAAACAATTCCCCACTTCAGTCATTCCTCATTTTTTTTTTTTTAAGAAACATATCCCACAAGCAACTTCAAAGCCTTCTGAGCAGGAAATAGTAGAGAACTAAAAGACACAATAAAAGTCTACCTACTTTTATTGTTAGAGATTTAATCGTTAGATCAGCAGTCTGTGGATTAGTACCTGACTGTTTCATTTCAAAGAAGAAGTCACAAGGCTGTAATACCTATACAAAAGAGTGAAAACACACGTTAAATAGAGAAAAAAAAAACTTTTAAAAATCATATACTTTTAAATACTACAATCAAAAGTATCAAAAAGTTACCATTATTCAGTTCTTCAAAATTAAGAGTAATCTGAGCACTAATAACATGCTCAAACGTAAAGAAAAAAGTATCAGAAACATCACCTCAGCCATTCTCAATCATTAAAGATTCAAATGTCAGCTAGAGAAAATGCATTACACTTCAGTAACTCCATTCTTTAGGTAAAGTCTGCATTTTAGGTAAATGTCTTCAAATACACCTCATCATCATGCCTGTGACTTTTGAGAACCAGACTTTTCGTTAAGGGCAACACAGCAACAATAGTTACAGTTTTCCTGAATAAAAATATCACTGTTTGAATCACAATCACTCAGTTCCAGCTTTATTTTACAATCAGTCCTTGCATACTCCCACTTGTCATGGTTTACCGAAACCAAATCTAAGGTACACTGTAAACAAAATGATAGTGCCATGTGATTAATAAAGCACTCAGATGTAGTTAAGACTCTACTGATACTGTATTGACAGGAAAATTTGCTCTCCAGTCCCTACCTGAGAAGGTAAGTCTTTCAAAAATGGTAATTTCAAACCATGTTGATTTTACAATCTTTCCTGACATCTCTGTCCATATCTGAATCAGATGCTGGGTGCACACAAACACCCTGAATCAGGTTTACAACACTTTTTCCAAATGAGTTTGATCTAACAGAATTTTTTGTCCATATCATTGTTTTATCCTCTGCTACTCAAATTATATTTTTTTTTTCCTCTTCTGTGTTACAGCCAGGAATGAAAAATAACATATTCTTCTTTAGACCAAGGTACACGTCTTTAGACCAAGGTACATGTCAGAAACGTACAGAAAGAATCTCATCACTTGTGCTACTCTAAATCCAGAGGCTAGTTTCCTGGGTAGCTGGGGAAACCTATTCATCAGGAGGATGAATTCATCCATCACTAGTGTCACCAAAGTAGAGGCAATATAAAATCTTCACATCAATGTCAGCTTTCAGAAATCTTGTAATCTTCATATAACCTCATATCATACATTTTCTTTCTTGACTAAAGGCGGCCATGGAATGTCATCTGAATCTCTATTCCTCTGATTATTTTCCCAGACTGAAATCATATTGTTTACAGAAAAACTGGGTTCAGAGGCTTCCTTACGTGCATGTTTTCAAAAGGGGCAGTTATGCTGCAACCTGCAGAGAACATCTTCTTTTTTGACGTCTACTACTCTCTCAAGAGCTTTCTGAATCTTTCAAAGATACTGTTTCAAGCATCAAAACTAAGGTCCTCTTTATAGCACAAGCATCCCATCAGATACAGGTCTTTTTCTCTGTTTCTACAGTGTGAGATAAGAGATTCTAGCAGAAGATATTCCTGTAAGAGGAAAAGCTTGGTGTGAAGCCTTCTAATTGCTTTCTACAAAGCTATCCACATTTGTGCCACATTCGCCAGCTACGGAAATGGAAGTCAAGCAACTCTGCATTGTGTTGTGGCTACCAGTGCAAGTGCATCACTTTCTCAATGGCTAGATTGTTAACGGATTAATGCAATCAAAGACCGTGTCTACCCAAGAAGTAAACTGAGCTGCTATGAAAGTATCTGATAAGGAGATGAAGTGGAAGTCCCAGTCCTTTGTGCTTATAGCTTTGGTCTTTCCTACGTAGCTCCATAAAGTAAGCAGGCATTAACGCAGAGCTGAAAAGACTCGTTCTTCAAAATTCATCTGTGGCCTGAGGACACAGATAACAGTTGGATATACTGTCAAATTGAACTTTTTCTCTGATACAACAATATCATTACAGAGTTAACTGAGGTATAGTCTGCTGTAGAGACAGAAAAGCTGTAAGAAATTCCAGGAGGCAATGCATTCCCACCTGGCCAGTAACTAACAAGTCTGATTCTGTTGCCAAAATATACATAGGCAGTTTTAATATAATGGATCTATGGACCTTAACACAAAGGAATTTATGAACGGCATAACGTAAGTAATCTACTTCATAATACATACTCCCCATTCTGTCTGTGACCCTTTGTTATTCACTTACATAGCTGTTTAATGCAAAGTTTCAGACTGAAAGTATTCCAAATTTACTACATTGCATTTGAAATAGTGTACACTCATAAAATTCTATTTATTTGGCTTACATGGGATATAAGAGTTTATTAACATTTTACTCCTCTGGGCTCTTAATTTTAGCTTGTCATACAAAGCAGATCTCAAAGCCACAGATCAAGATGACGCTTTTGGCATATCAGACAAAACAGAACAAAATCAACAAAATAAGTTAGCCACAAAATTTTACTCGTATGTCTGTAATACACATTCTAATGACGAAAGCTTCAGAAATAACTTGCATTCTAGTAGTGTAAGTTACACAGCACCTTTTAAATACAAACTGGATGTTTGCAAACTCACCGTAGTAATGTTTCCTTTCCTTTTTTCTGGAAGAAATGGGCATGCTTTCATTTGTATCTCTTTAACAGCAGCTGTCATGCTATACCTTTCAGGGCTATTTTTAATGAAGACCTCACACTGTGTTGTAACCACCAATGCAGGAGCATCACTTCTTGTTAAATCGGCCACAAACACAATCTCTGGATTTTTAACAACAATGTTCATTTCCATTGTAGATACAGGCTGCACAGGTGCTTCAAAAATATAAATTAAATTAGATGAATTGTTCAAAGATTAAATTGTCATTATTTATATCTCTCATAATTTATAGAGAAGTTTTAAAGATTTAGTCATAGAGAAGTTTTAAAGATTTAGTGATACAATCTAGCACAACTGGTGTCAGAAAACCTGTAGATCCCTGCAACTGACTTACTTCTAGGCTCTTCACTGGAGATACAAAACCATAAAAGCTCTAATTACCTTCAGATACAACAAAAGATTCCACAAAGCTTCTTTGTCAAAACAGAAAGGATAACAGTATCACCACTGTTATTACCTCTGACATCAGCTTCACTAAATATCTACATCAGCCAGCTATGATAGGGTCTTGTGAAAATGCTGGACACATTTTCTGCTCTCTGAAGCAGCAAAACACACATTTTTCCATAGGACAATAATGCAGCATTTACTAGTGCTTGATGTAACCATCTGCAGTACCAATATACTTCTATGTAAGACTTCCTAACTCGTTTAGATTATGTTCATCTACTAAATAATCACAGCAGGCCTAGCTAAGGTGGACACAACTGAGATATTTAAGGTACAGGAAAACAAAAAACAGGGACTTGCTTTGCAGACCTGATGTGAACTACCTGTGGCCTGGAAGCATAAATAGCCCATTTCCTGCTCTGATGCTCTAATGGACCAATTTCTGATGTCAGACAGAGTCCTGCACTAGAAAGACCAACCTGGGCGCTCAGGCTAAAAGCCTCTTTCCTGATGTAGGGAGAAACACACATCAGTGGACAAGTGAAATGACAACATTTCTAGGCAGCAATATCTGGCAGGCTGAATTCATATTTAAGCATAATATAATATGCTGCATCATTCTCAGGAAGGATGAAAATTATGATGGTGGTAATCATCATTATAAACTTTGTTGAAACTGCAAAGACAGCCAAAGAAGCCTAGAGAGTGCCAGCTGTAATTGTCCTCTCCCATTTTATTTTATTTTAGACATACATTTTTAGGTATTTCCTTTGTCTGGTAAGACAAAGCTTTATTTGGAAATAAAGACCAAGGGACATGAACCAATTTCATGATGCAAAGAAAGAAACATCAATGGTTAAAAGAAGCTGTTCTATACACACAAACACAGAAAATAAAATAAAAGGAGTATTATAATTTTTAAAATAGTATTATAATACCAAAATTAAATGCATATTCAAATACAATGTTTTAAATATTTCCAGTATATACCTTGCTCCTTTAAAGGTAATGACTGTTTGAGATTTCTCTGTGCAGCAGCACTTTCTGCATTAGCCTTTAGGAATATATCTGCAACAGTAAGTAGAAACTCCATGCTTGCACAAAGGTATATCTCTTGAACAATCACATCAAGAACAGTGCCATCTCTCCCCTGCTTATAGCTTATATCCACCATAACTTTCTTTTCAAATCCATGTTTCATTTCCACCATCCTGAAAGACCATTAAGGCGGCATTTAACGAAACAATAAAAAACCAGCCACAAATACTGAAAGACACACAAGATTCTCACTCCAGCTACAATACATTAACAAGAGTGAATTTAAAAAGTAACATCAAAAATTTTAAAACATGACCAATAAAAACATTAACGTAACTTCTATAAAACTTCAAAACTAACTGGACTCCCATACAGTGGCAACTAAAGCTGTTCATAATGTTAACACATCAAACCATCACAATTCTTTTTTTACATATCAAAAGTATTATACTTTACTGAAGTTTGTTACTCTTCGTGAAAAAATCTGTCTTACTTAGCCAGCAGTTTATTAAAGCTGAAAGTGAAATTTGTTTCTATATGCATTTATTAATTTCATATTTAAAGTTTGTTTTATTTTGTATTTAAAGTTTGTTTCTAGCATTTATATTGGTCTCTCATAAACAACATGTGGAACAAAAGGCAAGTAAAACACATATGTCTACAGTAACATGTACTTTAAGAACTACCTACACCAAAACAACTGCAGTTTTAACAGACTACTAAAATGGAAACATTTGGAACTCTCTGTCAAACTCCAATAAACAGTAATTTATGTCAAATACAGACCTTGGCGTAGCCTTCTGGATTGACTGTCTTTTATCATCTAATGTACAGTTTGCCAGCTTGACTGAAGCATTCATTGAACCATCTGATAACATTTTGACAGCAGCTGACATCAAAACTAACTTAAACTCTGCAAGCTTCAAAAGGTCATCTCTCTGATCCAAATTTGTAACCTGTTTAAATCAAACGAGAATGTGTTTGTAGATTTGCTTACAGGTAATGGAAGTAATACACAGGTGTGATATACAGCTTTATTCTAACTGGTAAGATTTCTAATAATAATTTATTAAATAAACCCTCTGGTAATTCAAAAGACAACAAAAATCAATAACATACAGAGAAAACTGAAAAAAGCAAAGCTTTACCCTTCTACCAGCTTGCTAAAGCAAGCTTGCATTAGTGAGAGGGAGACAAAGTTTAAAAGAAAGTAGAATTGTCATATGCAATTTTGGTTTGTTTGCTGTTTAAAAATAGATAGTATATGCAAAGATGCCAAATAAGAAATTAAATTTTGCCTCTTATGACTATGTAGTGTTTAGCCAGATACTGGAAAATTGTTCAAAATGTAAAATAACAGACTACAAGTTTACAATGAAATATTACCAAACTTTTAGTCAGAAATTCACTGACAAGTTTTGTAAATTTAAACCAAGAAGAATAAAAATGCATTCATACTGTAATCCAAATTTAAAATCTCTCTCCACAATTTTATTTATGTAAGTCCGTATGTGTGTAACTGAAGAACAGGTTGCATGCCTCTGCATTTTTTTCTTCCCAAACTGTATTTTAAACTAAGGTAAGTTTTCAGCAAATTTTTAGTCAGATCACAGGAGATGCCACGTATTATGTGCTACCACTGGTTATTCTCTTTCCTGTAATATCTGCCACATGATTTAGTTAAAATAGCTGTTTATCATTTCCATCATGTTTGTTACTATTGCTAGAAATCACTTTCTCTGCTCATAAATTAAACTACTCCTGTTCAGAATTTCCAGGACTCTAGGCAACCTTAAATCTGTTTCTTGCTCTTTGTAACCAAAATTATATTTACCTGTTTTGAATTTGGACTATACAACACTAAAGTCAGAGAGTCAAATCTGAAGTCCAGTTTTAGTGTTGTTCTTATTTTCACAGGTGAATGCAATTCCACCACAGCTGATGTCACAACAGTTACACCTTTCAGAAATTAGAAAAAACACTTAATATTAAAGAAAATTATCTGACTGCAAATACCACACACAAACCCAACATCCTTACTAATGACTATAAAGACAACAAATTCCCTTTTCCTCCACATGTAAATCCATCCACACTTAGGTTAAGTTTATCATGCTCTCTGTAATTACTTTTGGCAAAATCACACAATGTTTGAGAAAACAAAATACTCCGCTTATATATTCTACATGCAATTTTTACCTTAAGACATAAATGTACAACTTCCCTTAATGTTATATGGTACTGTGTGCAAGAATGTTACAAAGAACACAAGTTTACTTTCACCCTCATTTGTTCATCTTGCCACGTTTTTGCTGTTTTTCACATTTAATAGAAGAGTTAAACAAAAGATTCTTTTCTTAACCTTACTTGCTTTTTTTTAGTGTGTGCTGACAGTTTATGGGCAATGATGCCTACTGAATAGGAACAACTTTTAGAAATGCCATCATTATGACAAAACAAACAGATCTAAAACTGAACAGCAACAGAACCAGCATACACAGGAAAAAGAGTAACATAGCAACTTTCCAAAGTTGGGATGTTACCAAATCCAGCTGAAAGACTTTTAGGTGCTCACTGCATTACTGCCAGTAGAACAAGACAGTCCTTACATTAAAACACATCATGCTACAAAACTCACTACACTGGCCCAGTTGCTCCTATTCATTATCGTTATTGTTGGATATAGCTCAAACCACAATGTCAAGATAACAGAGGCATACTGTTAAAAACAACTGAATCTGGCATCCTTTTATAAAGGCAATTCCAACAGAAATAATAAATTGACAGTAATACCTAAAAATGCTAGACCACACGTAATTTTAGAAAAACATTACCTGCAGAGTGCTGTGAAGTACTATGCATATCACTACAATGGCTAGTCGTATCTTTCGGTTCTGGCAAAGATGCTGATGCACCAGAGCTTCCACCTATATTTTCATTTAGTGTCCTCAATATTGTGGTAATATCTTCCTGACTGAGAATTAGCTTAAAAAAAGATTATTAAACTCAGAACAGTTTCTGAAACTTTTGGTAACTAAAAATCTATGTTTACAAATAAACAGATAAACCAAATTAATCTCATCTGAGTCTCTGTTTAGGAGACTGAAGAACCAAGTAAAATGTTTTTCTCAAATCCACACAACCCCTTACAGTAACTTCTAGAAATCAGAAGTTGTTCACACATTATTTTGTTTTTGTCCACAAACTTTCTTTGCAAAGCTAGAATTTAGAAATGGAATGTTAGAGGTCATACACATATAGCTTGACTTACAGTCACCCAAAATTGTTAATCACATTTAGTCACAAGGTACTTTACAGTAATGGTTACTAGTTCCATTTCAAAATTTGGCAAATTGGTTTTCCTCATACAACTGACAAGCTTTATATTTTTTGATTTTAAATTTAAATGAGCATGTGCACTAACTCATACTCAGGCTTGTCATGGGTATGAATTCAGCAGGTGATCGCGCTGCTAATGAACAGACCAATAAACCCCAACTTTTTCCAATCCTTCTTTGAAAGATACTGACAGGTAAAAGAAGGCTATAACAGCATACCCATTTCTAACTAGCAACAGTAATATACAGTACAAAGTCTGCCTGCAGTATCACAGATGAAATACAGAGCTTAGATTAGAACAGAAAGCTATTCACTTCTTTTTTTCCTATGGAACAACAAAACCCACTCTACCTATACGTCTTGAAATCAACCCTAACTAAGGAACTTGAATTTTTATGGACAGAAAAATGAATCCATTTTCCATGGATATTTTAACAGCTGCTTTCAGAAATGAGTGCTTACATTCATAGGCTTGAGTCGGCCAGATATTTCAATATCAGGAACTTCGTTATACCATGCGGCAGCTAAATTTCGTTCAACAGCTACTTCCAGGTTGAGGGGCTGCAGCAACTGTACTTCAGTTTGCAATGAACCCTGCTCATAGCATGATCTGTGAACAGAAACAAAATACTCCCAGCTTGACATGCTTACATATTCTAACAAAGACAAACACATTTCTGTCTTTTCCTCATCTTTTTGAACAGTACTGTAAAACAGTCTTCATACTATTCCTAGTTTCTCTAGTTAAAGCCTTACTCCACCAACTAGACATCTTTTCTTGGCAGGGAGGAGACACATCAGGCACATACCAGCCATGCAACATACTAACTTCTTGCCAGTTAGGACCTCTTACCTGCTCTCCACTGGAAAGCAATTCCTTCTTTCTTCAGTACTCTTCAACTGTGTTTGAAAATCCCCTTCCCTTCCCTCTCCCACTCCCAATCCCCTGCACCAAGGCCCATTTTCAAACACTTCTTTACAGCTGTCTGACTTGATATCTTTCCTTCTATGTATAGCTTGAAAAACCCATCAAAATAGCCATTTACAAATGGGTATAACCTGTCCCAAAGTAGTGAATGATACATAAGTCTATTATTCTACACAATATTCCCTAAACAAACATTTGCTTCTATTAAAAGATGTACAGATTGCTATTTCTCCTAAAATACATTTTAATTGCTTTTACAAAATTTTTATTAATTTGCTGTTATATTTCAAGATAATAGTGTATCCGTCAACCACCAACCATTAACTAATTATTTTGATAACAATTTCTCAAAGCTCTCCAACTGAAGTATCCCAAAAGGATTACATGAATTTAAAAAAAATCTTGACACTACATTACCTGTATAACTTTAGTTCACTCAATTTCACTGTCATAGAGTCAACAACAGGCGGGAGATTATACCGTGTTTTTGTTTTAGCAATAAAGAATTGGTTCTTCACAGTGATTAGACCAAGATCGGCCACCAGGACATTCGCAGACATTGCTGACTGTGGAACTATCACAACAGGTGCTTTAATATTGATATCTAGTGCCAAACGGGAACTACGCTCCGCTAGCTCTTTTACACCTGTAGCTGCTTTCTCTGCTGCTTGAACAGTTGCCTCAGTAAGAGCTTCCTTGGCGGCTTGAAAGTTATTTATAAAAGCCTAGGAAAAGAATACAGATCTTGGGAATTTTATTAAGAATTACACTACTTCAAAAACACTAAGAATCATAGTTTTTTTAAATAGCAAACCATCTTAAGGTACTATTTTTGCTACACGCTTTTTCTGAATTCTTTAATAGGATAATCTTCCCTCAAAATATGATAAAATATGCAAATATATAAAAATAAATTTCCATACTAAATATTTGGCAAATCAGACAGTAACAGCAATGACCTTGTAACATGACTTGTATGAATTACATTTTATTTACTCATATGGAGAGTAAAAGATAGATTTACTTAGCAGAATTTATGGAAAAGGCATTAATTTTCATGGTTTATTACTATATTTCAGTGTTATAAACAATGAACAGTGTGTATATCTAAAAGCTGCCACAAGACATTTAAAGAAAAAAATTACTAACAATAATAGCAAATATTGTCGCTTAGCCACCCACTCCACAATAACAAACACATGGAGAAGAAAAGTAAGTAGCCCAACCACCAATCCCAGCGAAGTTTTCAGTATGTAAGAGTTCTTACACAAATGGGCACCACCCCCTATGGGATGCTTTAGCCTTTCCTAGATCTGACAATGTTATCTGGATGCTAAGGAGCAGTACCTGGGAAATTTAACTTACCAAAATAGATGAAACAAATTTGTTGACAAAAACTACTTGAATACACCCAACAGTTAGGTAAATACGATTGTCAACAACATCCATATTTGTATATGCAATGCCATCTGTAGCATTCACATACGATACCATTCTGAAGTTGAAGACTTCTTTTCCTGTGATGTAAAGAGCCTTAGGAAGAAAAAAAACAAAAAGTATCTCTACTGTAAAAACTTATGCTGGAGAAACTGAACTCCAAAATAAAACGTAGTACCTCACACTTCTAAGACATTTTTACTTCAAATATCTCAACAATAAAAGAAAAAAAAAAAATCCTTGGAATAGCTGAAAATATTCAGTTGGAATATCAGCTTGAATAATTCTGTCCATTAAAGTCAACAAAACAAGGAGTGTAATGAGCAGCTGGGCATCACAGTTGCACAAAATGAATGTCAGCCTCACAATCATCGGTTGTGGGGGTGAAATCAGTCTGGCTATAGAGAATAATGCTCCCAAAAAAAAAAAAAAAAAAAAAAAAAAAAAAAAAAAAAAAAAAAAAAAAAAATACACTACTTCAAAAACACTAAGAATCATAGTTTTTTTAAATAGCAAACCATCTTAAGGTACTATTTTTGCTACACGCTTTTTCTGAATTCTTTAATAGGATAATCTTCCCTCAAAATATGATAAAATATGCAAATATATAAAAATAAATTTCCATACTAAATATTTGGCAAATCAGACAGTAACAGCAATGACCTTGTAACATGACTTGTATGAATTACATTTTATTTACTCATATGGAGAGTAAAAGATAGATTTACTTAGCAGAATTTATGGAAAAGGCATTAATTTTCATGGTTTATTACTATATTTCAGTGTTATAAACAATGAACAGTGTGTATATCTAAAAGCTGCCACAAGACATTTAAAGAAAAAAATTACTAACAATAATAGCAAATATTGTCGCTTAGCCACCCACTCCACAATAACAAACACATGGAGAAGAAAAGTAAGTAGCCCAACCACCAATCCCAGCGAAGTTTTCAGTATGTAAGAGTTCTTACACAAATGGGCACCACCCCCTATGGGATGCTTTAGCCTTTCCTAGATCTGACAATGTTATCTGGATGCTAAGGAGCAGTACCTGGAAAATTTAACTTACCAAAATAGATGAAACAAATTTGTTGACAAAAACTACTTGAATACACCCAACAGTTAGGTAAATACGATTGTCAACAACATCCATATTTGTATATGCAATGCCATCTGTAGCATTCACATACGATACCATTCTGAAGTTGAAGACTTCTTTTCCTGTGATGTAAAGAGCCTTAGGAAGAAAAAAAACAAAAAGTATCTCTACTGTAAAAACTTATGCTGGAGAAACTGAACTCCAAAATAAAACGTAGTACCTCACACTTCTAAGACATTTTTACTTCAAATATCTCAACAATAAAAGAAAAAAAAAAAATCCTTGGAATAGCTGAAAATATTCAGTTGGAATATCAGCTTGAATAATTCTGTCCATTAAAGTCAACAAAACAAGGAGTGTAATGAGCAGCTGGGCATCACAGTTGCACAAAATGAATGTCAGCCTCACAATCATCGGTTGTGGGGGTGAAATCAGTCTGGCTATAGAGAATAATGCTCCCAGCAAATACATAAAACATTATTAAAAAAAAAAAAAAATCACAGTTAAAGAGTAGAGTCCACAAAGTAAGTTAAATTCAGCATCTATATTCCATTCAGAAATCAATGATACATGCAAATGCATACCTTTTTATACAATGCCGTCTCATCAGAATCCACAATAATGATGTTCTTTAATTTTGCAGTCACTTCTGTTGCTGCTTTCTTCATGATCACTTGGCTATCCAGACCTTAAAAAAAAAAAAGACAGACATACAAAATCTGGAGACTATTCTGGCTATGAAGCCTTTGTGATTAAAGTTTTGTTCCTACCTTCAATGTGAATTTCAGCGATTCTATGTTTTTTCTCTCTGATAAAGATACGTAAACAGGATAAATCTGCACAGATATTGAGGTCAATAACATCTTCATACTTCGATTTTTTTGATGCTGTGGGAAATACAAAATAATAAAGATTACAGTTCTTCAAGGAGGAGATGTAATATTTTAGTATCCCTTCCCCAAAGCCTAGTTTGTATAAAGCCTGCAGCACTGGCAAAACGCACTGCATTCATGCTAGCAAGTACAACACAAAGGAATTGTATATACAGGATTGTATATACAGGAGTCCTCATGTGCTTCATGAACTGTGCTAATCAACATCAGTATTTCATTAACTGCAAGAAATACATTTAATATACATCTATCTACACAGCACAAAATTAGAGAGAGATTATTCAGGACTAAACAGTTTACCTCAAAAAGTGGTAACACACTAGCTACGTTAATACACTACTCTATCTGGTCATCTGCAATCAATGGTCTTGTTTACATACAGCAGGTGACTTTTTATTAAATCTCCACAACCTATATTTTCTAAACTTAAGTTTTAAACATGAAAATACCATTAATATAACTAGACACTGAAGAGGAGGGACAGTGGGCATCCTTCAAAATGAGGATGGGCAACCTTAAGACCTACAAAAGATACAAGCACAAATATAGTGCCTTTCAGAAGAGACGTGTCCAAATATTTAGCCCATTTTTGGTTTTCCCAAAACTGAGTAAAAATACTCTATTTCATGTTAACAGAAATAATCTCTGTTCATTTTGAGCAGACATGACTGATACCACACAACAGTATCTGCAGGTATAGAGCTAAATAGAAGTCAACAGATAAGGGACTCAACCAACTTAGTCAATTTTTTCTGAAAGTCAAATCTGACATAATGTTGTATGCTACTTCAAATGACAAAGGGAAATATCGTATCTTGTATTCGGGGACTTTTGAGTCCTAAGTGGTAAATTCTTATAGGTAATCTATATACAAAGCTAAAAGCAGCAAAATTAAAAGTAATAAACACTCACCTCATTTTTCCACAGCCTAGCTTTTCAGACGAGATATTACCTCTAAGTATTGTATGTGAGTATGTTAAGGCCTTCTCAACCCCCACAATCAAGCTATGGTTTCATAAATACATCAGCTTCAGTCACATGATTTTATTGTGCGTTGCTAACAGAAGACAAGCCATGGTAAATTAACCAATAACTACCCTCAGTCAAAGTTTAGTTTGCACAGTTGTACAGGAATGGGGGAGAAGGAGGGAGGAGAATCATGGAATGGTTTGGGTTGGAAGGCACCTTAAAGATCATCTAGTTCCAACCCCCCTGCCACAGGCAGGGACACCTTCCACTAGACCAGGTTGCTCAAAGCCCCATCCAACCCGGCCTTGAACACTTCCAGGGATGGGGCATCCACAACTTCTCTGGGCAACCTGTTCCAGTGTCTCACCATCCTCATAGTGAAGAAATGTCTTCCTTCTATCTAATCTAGATCTACCCTCTTTCAGTTTAAAGCCATTACTCCTTGTCCTATCACTACATGCCCTTGTAAAAAGTCCCTCTCCAGCTTTCTTGTAGGCCCCTTCAGGTACTGGAAGGCTGCTATAAGGTCTCCC